ATTCCTGCTCCCTCTCACAAATGGATTTCCAGTAGTGGTCCAAACAGCCTACCTTACCTGTCACAATCAGATATTTACTGCTTATTTCACTGTTCTATCTCCTCCCGAAATGAGCTGTCATGTAGACAGTGCTTTGAGTGCCTTTACATGACCCTATTTTGCCACATGAGACTACAGTCTGTGAAACATGACTAAGCACTCACCACAAACATAATGCTGTCTAACCACAATATCTGTCTTTTAAATAATGATCCTGGTGTCCAAACATTTTCTTTGACCTTTCTTGAGTCTTTTTGCTTGACTGCAGAACAGAGTGGTTACACATGAGGTGTTGCCTGCACCAACAACAAGATTCTCTAAATTGTTCAATGAGTCACATTTAGCACCTCTTGCATAAAGGGAATTTTAAGCAACCAAAGATATTTTACTACCAAATTCTTTATAAACAGCATCACGCATATCCTATTCCTTGCCTGATGTCCAATCCTTAAGTCAGTAGTGGTATTGTTATTGTACAAGTGGCTCCACTGAGCCCCAAAAGATGAAGTGATTGGCGCAGTGACCTAGGAGTCAAAGGGGAATCCAAGCCTCCTGGTCCTGGCTCAGTTTGTAGCTTCTGGAAACACACCTCCCCTTGCAGAGCTGCTTCTGCTGCTCCTTTTAACACAGCTGCACCTCTAAAGACAGAAGTTGTTAAGGACATTTCCTGGAGTTCATGCATATAAGCTTGATGTTGACTGTGTGGAAAAGGTGGCTGCTCCTCCAACATGGTCTCTATTTGATCTCTGCTCAAATCTGGAGATTTTGATCAGAGCTTGATATAAAAATGGTTTTACAAATGGTCTCATACTGACTCTGCTAACCTGAAATTTTGAGAAGGCAGTGTAATCCTTTACTCAGACAATACAGTTTGTTAAATGCCAAAAAATATAGGATAACTCCTGGCCTATTACTAACTTGAAAGAGTATGACTGATATGGTACACATTCTACCTACATATAAACTCAGATGACAATTAGGTTTCTATAAAATGTTGAAGCAGCAGTTGTCTGGTCTCTGTGCCTCAACAGATCCTATTCTCTACTCTTCCTCCATACACTGTTGGCTTTCTTCCATTTCAGTCTCTCTCACTTCTTTTTTTAATATCTAAACAACTTTTCCTTTTCTGGGACTTGGGAGACTCTCCCTGTCAAGAGGACCTTGAGCTTAGTACTACAGGTAAGGTAATATGAGGTACATGGAGAGAGCTACTGCTTAGATCAACCAGAGTCAAACAAGTTGTGGCTTAAAATTATTTTCCTCAGCATTATTTCAGAGCTGTTTGTTTGAAATCAAAGCTTGTTCTAGACTTTAGAGTTTTGGACCAAACTGTACTTCTTAAATTACTAATATTCAAAGCACAGGATTGTTTCTGCAAGCAAAAGCAATTGCAACTCGCCTAAGCAGTGAGCTGAGCACATGGATCAAAATATAACAGAAGAAGAGCAGCGTTCACAATCTTACCTCTTCAGCTTATTAAAAGGTAGCATCCTACTGTGATTTTGGGAGCTTCCAGGTGACAGCAAAAATGTTGCTTGTTGCAAGAGAAAAAATAAATAGGTATGGACACAGGACTGGAAAAGTAATTCCGGTCTTTTTGCATTCATATTTTACAAGGAGAGAAATGTGTCTGTTAAAAGTTATTAGCAGCAGAACAGCTTGTGCCAGGACTACTCATTTACAGAAACTAACAGAAACATCACTCTCACAAATCCTCAAGATGTCTATTACATGTCCAGACCAATAAGAGACCACGTGCATCTTGCTATTGGGTTTGATTTTATCAACATATATGCAGCAGCTTCTTTTAAACTGCATCCCAAATGAGTAGATAATCTGTTCAGCAGTCCGTAGACCATATGTTTGAAGGCATTATGTAAGTTCTCCTCGAGGGTTATTTTGCAGTCCAAAACTCCACACAATTCACAATTTATTATTTTCCTGTTCTTCCGTTGTTCTAATCATTGCATTTTGATGCAACCCACATCCAAAAGGACCTTTACCAAAAGTCAGTCTCTATTGCACTCTCAGCTGAAGCCTCACTCAGAGCCTCACTAAGGTACCCATGAAGTTAAGCCAAGTTTCCATTAAAGAGAGGGCTGGAGTTTAAATCTGTTACTGAAGTGGAACATAAAGCTGACTTGCGTCAAAAACTGCTCTCAAACATTGCCATAGTACTAACTACAATGTTTTGTTTATATTTATGCCGAATATATGGTGACATCCAAGATCACAATTTTTTCCTCTGTGTTGTATAATGTGATTGGAAATGAGAGAAATAATGCCTAAAGATCCTTTTATGTAAGGCTCAAGATGATGAAAAAACATCATAGAAATAATTATATTAGACAAAATAAAATGAAGGTAGAAAATAGCTGAATTCCAATAGCAATTTTCCAGGTTTAATTTCAGTACTGGCTTCTGATCTGTTACCTGTATACTGGGGATTATTATCTGTAAGATGACTAACATGCTCTCAAAGATATTTTCAAATAGCTATAATATCAAGCTCAATAAATATTAATGAAAGAAGAAATATTCATAGCTTTTTATACTTTGCACTGGATATGGACAGGTATTTCTAAAATATCAACAAGTAATTTAAAATACTCACATACATAAGGGATACAATACTAGATACTATTCTTTATTACCTTCTACAAGTACTTACTTTTCATTTCCCAGGGTATGCAGGCTGTCTTAAAATTCTCAAAATCTCTTTGACATTTCATCCATTTCTGAAATGGTCACAGAGAAAAAAAACCATAATTGTCTCAGCGTCTGCATGCCCACCCCCGGTCACTCTCTTGGGACCCCACAGGAAATGGAAATAGTTACCTGTAACTGATATTTTCTACTGTAACAAGTAGTGCTGCTAGCTCTGTGTGGGGACTGCCTGGAAAAAAATGTGTGTTTTAACCCTTTCTTCTTTAAAATTGAAAAAGTGATGATGCTGGCTCAGGCCAGAGCTCTGTCTATCCCCTATCTAACAGCAGTCAAAAGTGAATACCTGGAGAAGAGGATAAGTGCATGTAATACTTCTTAGTACCCTCCTGGAAGCCAGTTTTTTTTCAGCTCTCAATTCCTAAGCCAGATGGGGTTATTATATATTTCATAACCCTTTGATGGATTTTCCTGCCATGAACTTTCCCTGTTACCCCTTGAGCCAATGTAACCCCTTAATCATCCACAGTATCCTTTGGCAAAGAGCATTGCAGCAAAAGCGCTAGTTTATGAAGAACCATCTCCTTTTGTTGGTTTTGAATGTGGCTCCCACTGGCTTTATTTGAAGCCCCTATTTCTTCCACAAGAAGAATGATTAAATAATCCCTTCCTTTCATGTCATTCATTTTTGAGAATTGTTTCTGAGAATTTAATTTGTTCTCTCCTTTGCTATTCAAAATTCAGATCTGGAGCTCAAGCTGTGTTATTTAATTGCAACTAGTCTAACCAGTATTTTATCTATTGGATAAGTAAACTTATAATTGAGCTTCTTGTGCTCAGCTGAGTTTGAAAGCCTAATTATTTTTTGTGAACATTAATGCTAATTAAATGTGACTACACAAAAATGTGTAGTAACAAAAATGTGACAGTTGCCTGCAGAAAAGCCAGTTAAACTAAGGGTAAACCTGGCCATAGCAAGTAGTCCTGCCAAATATTATTCTTAGGGTGTTTCTGCATAGCATTTTAGTTTGGAGCAGGAGCGTGCTTTTGAAATGAATCCCAACTTACCAAACTTTGCTTTGCATTGCAAAGCCACCAAAAGATGTGGCTCTAGGAGTGTGCTAATCCACATCAGCTGCTACTGGGCAGTGCATGGGACCACACTGGACTTGGCCCAAGGTAAAACCTGCCAGGACGCATGTAGTGTAGACACTGGGTCCTCAGCAGCAACTGCTTGGCCCTTTGATTATACTCCTGCTGAGCCACATGGCGTGCTGTGCAGGCACAGCCCTGGAGTATTGACTCAAGGGAGATGTTGCCAGCATTTCTGTTGGGAGGGAAAAGGCACTTTCTGATCCTTCACAGTGGGCTAGCTCAAGGAAAACACTGGGCTTTGGATCTGATTCACAGAGGAAAGCCAACGTACACCCATATGAAATTAAACTCACAAAAAAAGTTGACTTCTGTCTAGATGATAAATCTCAATCAAACTGTGGGTTTGCACTGGAAATTCTGTTGGTGGACAGCGATGGAAAAAAGGGTTAAAATGCAAATAAAGACAGGGAACTTTATTTGGAAAGATGTGGACATATGGTAATATCTACAACAAGCTCTCTGTCTGCATTACATGAAGTTAATGAAATCATATATTTACCTTGGTCATCATCACTTTGTATGCATAGAACTTTTTTCTTTTTCCTTTCCCAAGGACACCTTCAAACTTTTCAACAAAAAGCTGGGCTTCCCTGGGAAATGAGGGCAAAAGAGAGATATAGATGATGTGATGGTAAACAGGATATTGTCTCTACCACTGTAATGTAATTTTTTGGTGTGTCCTAACCCCTCTCCCATCACAAATTTTTGTATAATACTGTTCCTTAGTAATATGCAGAAAAAAAGCTCTGATATGTTGTATTTCACAGAAGACTAATCATACGCAGTGCAAACAGAAAAAGCAACTTGAGTCACTGCTCTAATTCAAATGTATCTGCTGACATCCAGTTAACGTTATCTAATATTTGTCGTTTCAGTGTCTTTTGTTTGAAGTCCAACTACTGTCCATTTGTGCCACTTATAACCTGTTATTCATCCTTTGGGCCACTGATTCTTGTCCATCTACCTAACAGAAATATATTTTCATTTTTTATTTTGGAGAGGTGTATACACTTATGGCCCTGGTTCCCCTGTGTCTACCCTGATTTAATTCAGTCCTTCAGAATTTCTGCATATATCGTCTTTAACTGTACCATTCTCAATCATTTCTTATACATGTAGCTTCAGTGGTCCCCAAAAGATTAATTCTTTCCTTATAAAGATATGGAAATGAAATAATACCCTAATCATAACAAATATGAAAGGGAGATTTTTTTAATCGGTTTTAAAATGCATGATGTCCATGGATTAAAACAATAAAGAGATGAGATCAAGAATGTACTAATATTCCTCCATTCCATTGTCTCTCTATGGAGAAAATGTGCCTTAAAGGCCACATGTCCTGATCTAAAGCACTGGAAAATAAAGTAAGATTTCTTAGCACTGAGTGTATGCATCAGAGTGAATAACTACTTTGCCATCAGGTGAGACTATTGCAAAGCATTGTGTATTATATTAGTTATCACACTAAGTGCTTGGGGAAAAGTAGACAATTAGAAAAGTGTTAATTGTGATGCACATCTTTCTAGAAGCTATGCAGATAAGTTCACTGAGTGAAATTATCACGCTTATAGCTGCATCCCACAGATTTTAGTCCCAAGAGCAAGTGAAAAGATTGTGTCAAACTGCAAAACCTGAAAATGACATGACATTCCTGAGACAATGCAATATAAAGCTGCCAAATCCATCTTTCATTCTCTGGGAGCCCTCTGAGCACAGAGCCACTCCATCACCTTCTGTGAGCTCACACCTTCACCATGCCTGCAAGGCACCAGCTTGAGAGCTGGCTCTTCTCACCTCCCTAGGCAGTTGACATGCCTTTGCCACCATCTGAGTCCCAGCTTTCTTATTTGGGGATACAGGTTGGCAGAAGCGAAGAGGTACACACTACAGCATGGATCCCAAGCCAGTCACTCTTTTTTTTTTTTTTTAATGAAGCACAAGGCACACACATTCAGATGGAAAAGTAAAACACTCCACCACCATGTATCCCATCACTTCACAGCTTCAAAGTGTTCTTCAGGAACTGAGTCAGTGTCTATTAAGGCTTTAGCTCCCTTATTCTGACTTTTGTTCTTCCAGATCTCATGTGTCTTCTGAATCTTGGAGCCTGATCTTTCTATGCTTTAGCTAACTATGACACTAACTGAGCCCTTAGCTTTTTCCTTTGACTGTCCTCTGAGTACTTCAGAGATTTTCTGGCTCAGCACTAACATCTCATCCTTTCATTTTGATTCTCAAAACATTATCCTCTTAAATTCTAGCTGTCTCAAATAAGTTAGAAAAAATGGATTCTTCCAGCTTCAGGAAACCAGTGTTCAAGAGTCCCATTTAAATCCATGTCCTCAAGGTTTAAAATCTTGCAGTCTGAAGAGATATAAGGCAGTCCTAACAGCAGATGGCAGCTTCCACATAAACTCAGTAGTCAGTGGTGGAGCAGTGCCATAAAAGCAGTCAGAATAAACTGGGCTTGTACCAACCCCCCAAATAATCATATCATATTTTTGACTTAAGAAGTAAAAGGAAAATCTTCTACCAACCACTCCTGTCACTAGGTGATTCAAGTACTGGAACTGTTTCATGAGAAATTACTGAAATCAAAACCTACAGAGCCATAGAAAACCTGTTCTTCCAGTCACTGATTACATGTAGGCTTGCTGCAGAATATCAAGATTTTCAAAACGTTTTTTTTTAAACTGAAGCAGTAAGTTAGAAATTCAAGAGGATAATATTAAAGCAACCATTAGCACATAATGAATCCTCCACAATGGTTATGAACACATTTTGCATCTGTAACTGAACACAGTTCTCCACAAATAAGTATGTTCTGCTATAAAATTAAGCTAAGCCAGAACAAGAAGGAACTTTTCCCAATAAAAGTCATAAAAAATTTATTTTCAACTCTGAAACCAAGCCCTGTGTTTACTTGTTTGCAATATCTTGTTATGTTTTTCTATACAAAAAATAATATTTCTTATCAGTCTCTACCTCCTGGACTCTCTATCAAGGGTGTATTTAAAACAATCTTTAGAGTGTTAGTAGTATATAAGCTCTTTCTCTGTCTTCAGGCTTTCAAAATGGACCAAAACCTTGCTGTTTGATCCAGATCTCCATGGTTAATGTTGCTGACTTTCCTGAACATTTCCCTTGGTTTCACTTTGCCAATGGCTAAGTTCTCCTCTCTCCCTCCATTCTCTCTTTGCCAAAACTAGCCCCCTTCAATTATGACAAGAAGGTATTTCAAACAAACAGAACAAACTATGGCTATTAGTATTGCCCATTTCTGTGAAGTAATAGCCAAAAATCTTAATATAGTAAGTAAAACATAGCACATGCTATGTGACATTATTATGCAGTTGAAAGAAATGTGTAATTATTTTGTAACATGGAGAGAGTGAAAGTCCCTTTTATGTGTCAAAAAGTTACAAGCATGTCTTACCCTTTTTTGTGTGTGGTGGATTTCTCTTTACCAATGACATTTTAAAGAGCATTTTCATACCAGAGGGTATGAGGCTAAGTCTCATTTAGAGAGGCTAAGTCTCATAAAAAAACCCTACTGCATACAAGCATATAGAGGAGTTATGTGCCCCACAGCAACCTATCCGTTAGCTGCATCCATGAATATTTGCATGAGTAATTTACAGATCTTATTTAATTGGTATTTAAATGTAAATCTCAGTAACAATTTGATTCTATGAAAAACTCCCACTGGAGTTTTAATGAAATATATGAAAAGCAAATTTAGTGCAGAGACAGAGCTTGAAAGAGGGCCTATGGGTAATGAGGTAGAGAATGTGTGTTGCAGTTATGTGCAAGGCAGTAATATGGGAAGCATTACTACCAGATGATGCTGGAGCCATCAAACAATGCATTTTCCTTCCCTCCCTCATCCTTTCTTCCCTCTGTAGCATGTTAGTCCCACTGGGTTGTTCCTGACTTCTCTGATTTGTAGGTTAAGGAAAACTTTCCCTCATTTCTATTTAAGCTTCCTGTCTTTAAAAGTTCAGCAACAACATAGCAGTATTCATTCAGGGAATGGGCTTGCAATGGCTTTCCATGTCTGTGACGCGTACTCTTTTTTGTTAAATATAATCCAGTATGTTATTTAATTCAGCTTTCTACCTTGATGTCTAAACTAAAAGACCTCTATTTGTACATCCCTGCAGACTTTTACCAAACTTTGTACTTTCCTCCATTTCTTTTATGCTAAAAATAAAATATGGAGGCAAGGGGAAAGATCGAGCAATACAAAGTAGTCCTAAACTGGTAGTCTTATTTTAGAAGCCTCAATAACAACCAAAAACCATGCACATATATATGCACATCTGCTTGGAAGAAATGCAACTTCACTAACATGAGGACGTGTCAAAAACAACACAGAGAGACAAAACCAAGCTTTGTAATCACTAGTATCATGTGTTATAGGTAAATTATCTATATCACAAGATAGGCCAAAGTGTACTCTGTTAGCTAACTGTGAATTTAAAGAAGCTTCAGAGAAACCTTATTAATTGAATTACTGACACAAGGAATGAATAAATGTTGCATGGGGCCAGGCATTATTGTCCTGGAGAAGCCTGAGTTAATTATTAATAGTAGGTGTGGAGCTATAGCTTCCAAAGTGCTAGGTGTACGGTACTTTGAGCACTTCAGCATTGCAGAGAGAGGATGAATTACAGCTCTCAGAGGTTATTGTTAATGAACAGGATTCAAGTGGATTGCTCACATTTTTCAGTAACAGTTCAGAACAGTTTCAGTCTCCAAGATCTAAAAACTCATTAAAAAGAAATGTCATATTAATATTGATCACCCAGGGCTTCTCCAAGTCTTAAAAAGATTGGCTACAAACTGACCACAAAACAAGTGTTGCCAGGCAGGGGCTCACTTGAAAAGCAGTTCAGTAGTAATAATGGGCAAATTATAGTGTTATTAAATACCTGGCTGGCCTCAGGAATTGCCATGCTGGCCTCAGGGATTGCCAGTATGTTCACAGTAAAAGAACTGAAATACAGATACACTGGAGTATAAAGACAACATTCAAAGAGGAGAAATTTCCTCCATCTCACAAAGGCACCTTATGAATCTTTGGTTTTTGTATACTTACAGAATATTCTGTTTTCATTTGATCTGTTTTGATGGATAACCTGAGTTCTGTAATAAATGTCACTAAAGAAAAATATTTAAAAATCATTGTACTATATTCTGTCCCTGACCCATGAAGGAGAGATTGCTCCTTGGATTATTTAGAAAAACTAAAAACTCCTTCTGGATCTCTTTACAGTCTGTATTTAATTGGGAGTCCTTTAAAAATCATAAGCCTGACATTTGACTGCCTTCTTTTTCATAACACTATTTTGTTTGTTTTGATAGTTTTGATAGTAATTGGCTTGTGGTATAGCTCAAAATTGAGACTGCTATTAGCACTTTTCTGTGTCCTTGCATGCAATTCTCTGATTACATGGTAACTTAATAGACTGTTAGTAGATATAAACTGCATGGCTGTTAATAGCCCTTCCTATTTTATAGCACAAACCCCTATATAAAATGTGGCATATACTAAGAAGGAAAACAAGATTAGTATTCAGGAGCCAAACACAGTAGCACAGCTTTTTAAATCTTCCCCTTGCCTTCATATGTGTGCAAAACCCAACTTGAAGAAGGCCCAGAAAGGGACACAATCCCCCAAAGCAGACCCTTGGCTATAAATTGGTATAGCTTTCCCTTGAGCTTTTCCAACTTGCAGCAGCTGAAGCTGTGGCCCCCTAAGTTTATCTTTTGTACTATTTTCTAATCCAGAAAATGTTTTAATAGTTTAATCCTCTCTCTCATTCTGGTCAGGAATGACTGATGGCCATTACCATCCGATGGCTCTTCAGCTAATTCTGTACTGGTGTAGGTAGCCAGTTTCGAGAGGAAACGTGCACAAAATATCAGCTCCCACAGAAAGGGCCCAACAACAGCACTCACAAACCCTGCAAACCAGTAGGAGGAAAAAGAGAAGGGCCAGAACACTCTTCTGAAGGAGGATATTTTTCTATGAAAATGGAAAAAGCGAGGCTCCAGCACGGACTACTGTGTCCTTTGCTTGCAGTCTGACACATTTATGATTAGGGGCCGGGGGGAGGTGATGCTGGATTCCATACAACACCGTTTCGTGCCTCTCCTCACCTTTGCCTCCCTCCTTTCCCCTCTCCAGACCTGCGAGGATCTCAGCAACATCCTCCATCTGCAAACCGCAACAGGAGCAGCTGCCCCAGCCCGAGGCTTATCCTCACTCATGGGTCTTCAGAGAATAATCAGAGGCTATTTGAAATGCATCTTCTGGATGCAGGGATGTAAATTAGAAATTAGAGCTGATCTAATTTTGTGGTGCAGCTCGATTAAGAGTGCCATTTCAGCAATGAGTATTTAAATCAGGTTTCAACAGAAGGTATTTTCTACAAAGCAACTAGTTCAGCAACTGTGTTCTAAAATTAATTGCTGATTCACACGTTTCAGAACAAAAGAATGAAGGAAAAGATTAACTTTTTTACAAAGCAGTCACTGGAGTTGAGTAGAAATTGGCTTTCCCATCCTGTACCAAAAAAAAATAAAAAACCCACCTCCCTCAGGAAAATCCAAAGCATTTAATTTCAATACTTACCTCTTTAAAAAAAATAATAATTTTATTATAGCTGGTTTACATTTGGACAAGAAAGTGGTTTTGAATCAGAAGATTAAGGGGATTGTTTGGTCTTGAAAATGCTTAAGCAAAATGCTTCAACAATTTTAAATTTCTTATTCACTTTTTTAAAATGAACAATTTAGTGGAAATTAAACCTTTTCCTAAAAAAAGTTTGCTTTGACAAATTAACATTTTCTGATAAATAATATTTAGACAAAAAAGTCCTTAACAGCCCTATTAATTACTTTTCAAATAATGTGAGAAATATTTGTATTTTTTCTCTTATTTTGTCATGAATATGTAACTAATCCTTAAGCACTCTTTGGGAGGTTTTTTTCCCCCTTCTTGGAAAAATATATTTGCTAATAGAGAACAAATATGGAAGTGGGGTTTGGTTCATGGCAAAGGAGGTTCCTCAAAATGCTGAGGAGAAATCTCCTCCAATGAAGCATCTCCTTTTTGTGCAAGCTGGAAGACAAAGAATAGGAAAGTTTGTTCTTCTATCTTTAAAGCCTTTTTTGCTTTCTGCACATCCCATAGTACTCAAACATCTGCCCAGGCAAAGAAGCAGATGATACAGGGAAAGAATAACTAGTAATAATTGTTGACCAAAACCTTCAAGAGCAAGAAATGACTGAGGAGTTTAAGATACTTTAAGCCAGTTTGTGCCTATTTTTCATATATACAGGAATAATGACAATCTATCCACCTAATGATTCCAGGATAACTGTTAAATAAATTCCTTTAATCCAAAACAAATTTACAGATACCCTAAACTGTGTTGATATAGATGCTTCTGTATCGCTATAACTATGTTCATAATAAAGCAGTCATTGCTATAACAATATTAGTTCTTAGATTTTAAACAGCATAAATACACGAGGTCTTTCATTGCAACTCATTTGGACTTAGGCTCCAAAGAGCCAGTTATGAAAACAGGACTCTAGAAAACAGTCTATGTCTGTATTATGGTACCTAAATGATTGGTTTTAATTTTTTCAAAGGTACTGAGTACTCACAAGTTCCATGATTTTCATCTAAGATGCAAAACATAGGTTTAAGCACTTAATTCTCAGCACACGTTTGAAAACATGACCGAATATTAGTTTTTCTTTTATATTTTTTATTCCAGCATTTTGCTGGATTTGTTTGTTTTTGTCTGCCAAGATATGCATGACTCTGTACAGAACTGTGTCAATCTAAAATGGGATTGTCCAGAATAAATGGTGACTATTTTTGGAATGTTATTTGATAGAGAAACATAGCAATAAATGTAATGCTTCAGTTAATAAAAGTAGATTGAAAATAAAGAAGCTAATCTGAAGAACTGTCATTTCCACTTGGAATACAAATTTTTCCAAGGCAAATAAGCTAAAGTGCTTCTAAGCCTACTTCAAAGAGAGCTGTAGCAAAGTATAGAAAAAGCCATTGTTTTGCAAAACCCCCAGAGAGTACCATTGATGCATGTTTTGTACTAACATAAACCTTCTGATGTGTGCAAATAAAACTGAATGCAAGTCTAGTCACTCAGTCAAAATTTCAGAAATATAATAATTTAAAAGTTGATTAAGCTAATGGACATTCAGATAAAATTGCTGCCCATGCTAAATATATAAGGACAACTTAATGCTGAATATTAACAGAGAAATGATTTTCATTTCTTGGGCAGATAATAAGGGTGGGATTTTGAAAACTTACTGTTGGTTTAACTGTGAAAGCCCACCTCAGAGTATAAAAAAGCTGTCTAGTGCAGTAGTTCAGCAGTCACTGAAGCTGACTAGAAGTACTCACCCAATTACAAACATTTAACAGTAATGTAGATTTTTAAGGCCAGAATGGATTGCTATTCTCCCTTGCTCAGACCAGGAGGGGATCTGCAGAAGTTCATTTAGGGTGCTCCTGATTCAAATCCAGAACTAGTGGCTGAGCTAATTAAATCATGTAAAATTTACACATCTGATTTAAAGACTTCTATCTGTACTCAATCAACACTGTCCCTAAAGAAGCTGCTATAATTTACCCTCACCATAAATGTGTGCCAGTTGTCTTCAAACACTTCTTTTTTGTAATGTCATAAAAGCAAACTGAGAGAACCAGCTGATGTCAATGATAGAATAGAAAAACAACTATAAAGTAGAAGCTCTGTTCATAATAAGGATACAACTGTAAAAATTTTATTTTATGTTGGTGAAGATCCAATAATTATAGACTATGACAAATAAAGTAATTCTTATCTAATCTGCTTATCTAATTTTCATGAAATTTCTCTCATCTTCACAATATTTTCTCTTTACATCTGCTGCATACTCTGTTCTCTTTTGCTCTACGTCCCCTTCTTTCACAACATACATTCCATTAGTATATCCTCCACAAAATGACTTTACCTTCCAGAGAAAAAAAAATCACAGACCTTCCACCCTGCATTTTTCCATCACTGTTGATTCAAACTATGTTATGCTCTCTCTTCCCATTATGTTTGTGTTTTCCATCTATATCGAAAACTCTCTGGAGTAGGGACCATCTTTTCTCTGTTAGTTGTGTCTAACAAATCCCAGTCATATCTTTGGTTGGTGTTTGGGCACACAAACACAGTGACTGATGAGCTATTTAAAACAGATGAGCATAGCAGCTTTTGCAAAAGAATAAATTTCTGTACATTAACTCAGTTTCCTGTGCTCTAGTGGATTTGCCAGAACAAAACACAGTTTTACAGGTGGCATACCTAAAAATGCATAAAAAGTCAAGCTCAGTTTCCAATCAGAAAAAAGGTTTATTTTTTTCATAAATTCAAATAATCTGTTCTTTCCCCAAGATTGTTAGGACAAAAAGGAAAATCCTCCCTTCCCATACCAGTAATCTTGAGGTATTGTTGAAATTGAACATTTTGCTTGCATCAGATCTATTATAAACTTATCAACTGAAGAAAATGAAAGCTTTTACTGGGATGTGTGATGCAAACCTAAAACAAAGATCTAAGTTTTTCATATTTGATTTCAGGTCTGCAGAGATGAGAAAGCACTGATCTGCAATACTGTTTAAATCCACTTTCTCTGAAAGCACACACCAGGAAAGAAATAGAGATCAGACATGGCTTGAAGTTAATGTGACGCGCCACTAGAGGGGCATCCGGGATTCTTTCGGATTCCAGGGTTAGTCGCACTGAACTCGAGAGATCATCTTTTGTCAGATGGAAGAATTTATTAGATCTAAGCAGTTCTACACATATGACGGACACTGGACAACACTAAACCATTAACAGCAGACAATCTACAAGTATGACAAAGCTAAGAAGTATAGTAAAGAATTAAAAACAGACTACACATATCAGAGCTCTATGGTTAACCACCGAAGCACAGTACAATGACTGCTCTCGGATGCACGGTATAATGACTGCTCTCGCCCTTTCCTTGTCCTTATGGGCCACCCCTCCGGTAGAGTTTTCCCCGGATTGTTCTCACCACGCTCGAGCTGCGCCAAGAGGATTCAGGTTCTCTCTGGCAGTTGGCATC